AAAAAAAAAAATATGAGGCTCTTATTGTTGCACCAATAATAATTGTAGCCTTGGCTGCGATCAGGTCCTTGTTTATTAGAGATTTTAAAAAAAAGCACTCTACGTGACTGTTCATCTCGTTCAGAGAGAATTATCAACGTGAAGAAAATATAAATAAAATAAAAATTTGGGCGAATTATATTTACGCACTTGTCTTTACCCCAGGTTTCTGGTAATGACCTGGTTATTGTGCAAAATTTAGTTACAAAGTGAGATATAAAATTACAATTTTCATAAAAATTCCACAAATTACATAATTCCTGGAATTAGCGATAAGTAATATTTCTGTTTATGTTATTAATTAATGTCTGATTATATTCTCATGTGACAAATAATTGTTGATTTGCATCTATGCTATTTTGATGACAACAAAAAATTAACAAGTGCAATTAGGGTTTATCGTTTTAATAGACATCATTTTTATTTATATAGCTCCCGTGATTTTTTTACGTTAATTATTGTATCATTTTTTGACATGTAATCAGCATATGAAATAATATTCATTAAGTGTCGTGCGAAGTTAATTATCTTCAGAAAGATTTACAGTTTTGTTTTCTAAAATCTCATTGTCGCCATAAATATTAATTTCGAGAATTATATTTTTTTTCTTTTCTGAGTGGAAAAAACCCAAAAATAACGAGTTTATGTAGAAAGAATTCAGTTTTCTAATTCGCGGCAAATTTCCAGTCTGTTCCGTAGAAATTCTGCTTTTATTTTATTTTTATTTAAATTATCTTATTTTACTACCAGTCATTGCAATGGAATGCCCTTTATTCGTATAGTCTGTTTGTCATGATTGAAAAGACAATTTAACCCTGATAGGAATATTACAATAAAAGTAAAAACTATTTCTGTAGTAAATAAAATCTTTCTTCTTCACAAAACAAAATAAAACTGCCATTGTCCACGAATGATTTCCATTATTTTCTAGGTTTTAAATTGCTTTTCAGGTAATTATTGTTAATTTTGTTTGCTTTTATTAAATTATATTTTAGTTTAGTTTTGGATATTAATAATATGCCAGATACACTTTTAAGTGGACTTTTTTTTTTATACGCATATATTTTTTTTATTATTTGAAAAGCTACTTATTTTTTATTTTTTATCTTATTTGTTTTCATCGTCTTTGTCAATTTTTAATGACTCCAGTAATTGCAGCAACAAATATCAACAGATCAAACAATCCAGTAACGAGAAAAACAACAACAACAACAAAAAAATCTTTTTAAATCAAAATTAATTTTCCGCTGTAATTCAAAGACAGGATATAATTTCAATTTATTTTATTTTTAGTTAATTCACATACATATCGGAATGATATATGCAATAATAAGTGCATATTAAATCTTCTTGCAGATTGTGACATTCATCAAGTGAGCAATTCTCTTTCGTAAATTGAAGGTTTTGAAAATATTCATACATTACGAAAAACAGGCTAACCTTTTCAAAAGTTATTATTCTTTAAAAAAAAAAAAAATTTTACTCTTTCCGAGTTGAAAAATACAACGTTTTTTTTTTTTTTTTTAAAATCAAATGAAAAACCCAATTGCATCAAATGTCGACTTCATGAAACATTAATATTCCATAGAAAAACTGCAAAATTTCTGTTACATTTAAGATTTTCGGGTAGATAACCTTATGAAAAATTTAAGGTTTTTTTTCCTTCACGATAACAAATAATATCTCATTTTCATTAGTTTCCACAAATGGTCACAGTAAATGATCACCCAATAAGGTTAATTACACAAAATGAAAATCGGCTTAAAAGGGCGCCAAACATTGAGATCGCTTTTGTCTGTTACAAATGAAGTGATTATAAATTGTCAATTAAATGTTGAAATTGTTACTGAGAGGGTCTCCTATTGACACGTGATACAGTTCTTGGCACATGGGCATTTCTTGGAAGCCACAGCTGGCTAAAATGTCATTAAAATAAGTCAGTAAGCCATCGAGAAATCACAACGACAGCAAGTGGAAAGTAAACAGCGGCTGAGACGGACGCGTGTCTCATGGCCGTAACATCTGGGAAAACTAGTTTCGCAAGAGGCGGGAATTTTAATCTCACACTTTTCTTTTTAGCCGATTTAGGTGCAATTTTAATACGTCAGCTGCAGTTAAAAAATGGACATCTTAAATTTTGTTCTCAATTCACTCGGGTAATAATAAAAAAAAGTATTTTATTCTCTTATTGAAGAAAGTTAATTGATTAATGGTAATAGTTTTGTTCGTAATTGTCTTAGCTCTTTCTTCTACTTGGATCAAAGTGTAGGATCAGTTTTCTTTGACTGAACGCAAAAACAAAATAAAAAACAAAAATAAAAATAAAAAAATAATCCCGCTGTAAAAGAAGGTGTCATTTCCCAGAGTAATTTATGAAGAGTTTTTGTTCCTAAGTATATCGTAAAATGATTTTTTTTTTAGTTCCGAGATATTTATAAACACAGGCTTAAAAAAGGAACGA